GGGAAATCTAGGGTGGCCCCTTTAAAAGCAGTCACGATACCGTGCTTGGAATTGCAAGCTGCGGTGATGTGGGTGAGACTACGGCGACACATTGTGGAAGAACTCAGAATCTGCATAGGTGCCGTCTATCTACGGATAAACTCGATTATTGTTCTTCGCTACTCAAACAAGACTAAAACGAGATTTAAAACCTTCATAACTAATCGCATTGCCTTTATCTTTGAGGATACCATCATTGAGCAATGGAGCCGTGTCCCCACGAATGATAATCCAGCTGACATTGCATCCCGAGGATTGGATGAAAGCCAACAAAAACGACTACGAAGGAGGATCAAAGGCCCACAGTATCTATACATATCTGAGGACTCCGAGTCCACGCGCGAAACCCAGATATTTGGTAATCAGCCGTTTGGTCTCGAGGATGGACATGATCGGGTTATTGCTGCTCTTGTCACATTTGTTTTCCCCAGGGATAAACTAATTGCCTATTATTCTTCCTGGACAAGACGGAAGCGGGCTGTTGTTTGGTTTGCGACCTTCAAAGCCTTTCTCAAGAAGACAATCAGCAAGTATCGATTAGTCCGTCGTCGTTCCATTTTGAGTAAACTCAGACTCTATCTTTCAATGTATATCAGGCCGCTATCGATTGACCCGTGGCAGACACAACCTGGTTGCGCTAAGGCGTTTGTAAGCAACAAACTATGGCGGCATTGGACACAAAACAATTTACAAACGTTGCAAGCAAGAGGAAAGCGAGAACACTTGAACCGACACATTAGAACGCTCTGCCTGCAAAGTGTAGACCAGAAATAGGCACACTGCTCGTGAGTCGGGCGTACCGGGGTTTGGCTCCAGCGATTGTGGCAAATAGTACCATTTTCGTTTGGGGTTGAGCCCATGGAGCACAGTAGCGAGCGGAGCTGTAGGTAAAGCCGTGCCGGCTTTGGGGAAGCGGTGTTGAATCTGTTTGCCGCCCTCCACATGTTCCATCCAAACAGTCTGTCCGGTCACCTCTCCCTCCAGTGTCATTGTCTGACCCGCACGTATTATCGATCATCGGACATGCACTTTTCGTCCATTCCGTCTCTTCATTTGCCGACCACACTTGATTCCCCCTCTCATTCTCGTGACCGTTGTCCCTGACCTTGATATGGTCTGACTCACCCTACCCTATTACTATCGTATGGAGTTGCCTAATCTTATCCAGATTGGTCCTCAGTCTCACCCGTGTGTCGCCCTGTCCCATGTGCGCTCTGACGTTATTTCACTTATCGCCTGTTCGTTTGACGGAGTGGTGAACTCCCTCGTTTGCATCTTGGTTCTCGATTGGCATTGTTTATTTCGCCGATTCAGGCATACCCCCTGGGAACGCCACGATTTGAGGTGTGTTGTTTATGAAGTTGTGACGCTTAATATTTACAGTACCGCATACTTATTCGCTATTGTTGGAGTCGAATAAACCTCCAGAAAACTTGGACTTGGCTTCTGAGGTTGCGCGTCACTCAACGTTGGCCTGGATAGTCATTTGGATTTAACAGTCACACTGTGGTACACCAATGCTTGCAGTATACGGGATAAGTGTGGAGAGGTGCGACGGCGCACCCCCGGCATATACATAGTGACCAGAACGAAACCCTGGATGCGGAAGCACCATATCTCCACGGGGATGGAAGACTGCACGATTGATAGGCAAGATAGGATGAATGGTAGGCAAGGGGGTGGGGTTGTGATAATGATAAAATCAGATCACACGCAGTGGGAGGCAGTAGGAGCCCTAGAGACTCCCAACATACAAGCCATCATTTGCGTAGTTAAAACAGACAGTAACGCATTAGCCATCAAGTGCTTCTACCGGGCTCCGCAGGCGACTGAGACAGAAGACCAGGAATTGATTGCTCATCTGCTATTAGTCCTTGCCACGTTCAGAAGGGTGTTGTTAGTAGGTGACTTCAACATGCCCGAGATCAACTGAAGTAGAGACAGGGCACCAGCAGGTACCGGGGTGAACTGCTTTTAGAGTGGCTACATCAGCACGCATTAACACAACACATGCGTCAAGCCACCCGGTTTAGAGCGAATGACAGGCCGTCCATACCGGATCTGGTGATCACCAGAACCCCCGGAGACATAAAGACAATAATCCAGGAGGAGCCTCTAGGGAAAAGTGATCATGTGGTTCTGCGACTAACGTTAGAAAGCAGACACAACAAACCAGCGGCCAAACTAGGGAGGCGATATGGTAGAATCAACCACGAAGAACTGGCCAGAGCGGCGCAGGATATAAACTGGGTACCCAATCCAGGTGATGAGTCTCTGGAAACCAGATGGAGCCATATAAAGTCAGGACT